TTGTGGGACGGTTGGGTCTGAATGTGCCCCAGAGTTACAGAGGTTTGAAAAGTATGCAGTTCCTTCCTCTGAGTGAAGCTATTGGGCTGTCCTATCTCCAAGGGAGCCATTCCATCTGACCCCCATAAGAGCCACCTCCCATCAGGCATTTTGAATGGGCCTTAACTTGGTTCCTAATTAGGCCTTGCCTAAGTTAGCAAGTGAAAGTTAAGGGAAGGTGGTCACTTTCAGACCTAGGGACTATGCCAAAGTACTTAAGGCAAGGGGCCAGGTCTCTAAAATTTATTAAATAATCTATGGTGGATAATTTGCAAGCTGACCAAAATGTATATTGCCCAGGGAAATCATTTTGGACAGAGCCATTTAACATTTGTAGGTTGAGCCTATTTATGAGATGTAGCAACCTAAAGCCAGCTTGATTATATTTTGTATCTTTGGAGGGTCTGGGCAGAAAAGGTGGTTCAATTACTTCTTCAGGAGCACAGGCATTGAAATGTTCATAGAGAGCTTCATCATTACAACCAGCATTTATGTTGAAATCCCCACCTATTAGGATATATGCACCAGGAAACCTATTCAGGCAGAGAGCGAGGATCAACCTTGTTCCAGGTTTGGGAAATCTATGAATGGAGTTGCTGAGGAGGAAGATAGAGATTAATACACAGTAAACAAAATTGGTCAAAGACTAACAAAGCTGTTACATCATTCTCAAAGTGAGGTAGTTGTTTTACAATTTGAACACATAAGTTGGAAGCTATAAATAGACCATGCCCTCCCTCCCTTGGGTCTGCCACCTCTGAGGCTAGGCTGTGCAGGGGATTGAAGAAAAGTCGCCTGCACGGAAAAATAGTTGGAGATTGAAAATTCCCCCAACATCCATGTCTCCTACAAAAAAAGTATATCAGATTTGGACAGAAATCCAAGAAAATCAGGGTCTGCTTATTTTGGGGTCCATCCAGCTATGTTCCAAGAGAAGGCAGAGAAATTGTTAGCAGGATGTAATTGTCAATTTACTGGTTCTCTCGGGTTGCTGTCTCTGGATAATCGTTCAGAAGTAAGAACACTTGGGTTGAGCAAATTGGTGACTGGGGGAGAAGATTAAAGAGCAGACCTCCTGCTGCCAATTAGGGTAGATGGTGTCTTGAGTCTGGGGTAATTCCATAGGAGAAGTTTCATGGGCAGAACAAATAAGGCCAGATTGGGGGTCAGAGTCAAAGTGTCAACCATGTTCAGGGTTCCTATGGAGAGAATTCACTTGCAAGGAGGAATATCAAGCTATAGATGGGGCAGCTATTGGATGAATAGAATCAGGATCCATATGGGAGAAGCCAGTGGAGATGGGTCTGTAGTTTGACTAGTCCATTCTTTAGAGTCCAGTTGTAAGGGATTATCACCTGTGGGCTGATCATCTGGGAGGTTGTGTTCTTCCTCATCCTCCATAGGGTCAACTGATATCTGCATCTTCCCTTTAATTAAATTGAGGGTGTTATGCCTCCTGTGCTTATCTGGTCCTGACCTTGGAATTGGTGGAGCACTCTGCTCTGTAGGTAGTTGCTGGCTGAGATTGTGAACGCTGGGGCTTATGCCATCCTCCCTTGCAGGCTTGGCTCTCCTCCCAGAATTTAGCAGAGGCCATACACAGCTATTGTGAAACAATATAGGCATAATTTGAAATCCCCTTAGAAAATATTTAAGTTTAAAAATCATAGAAGGGAGTGCAAAATGCCTAAAAGTTAATATTATTCTTTCAAGTCCATGCAATTTGGGAAGTCAGGAGATTTCTGTAAGCTTGCTGAAATATACTCTGTGGCAAAGAAGTTGTGAGATGGAGCATAGTACTGCTTTTCTATTGTGCCACCTGCCCTCATTAAGAGGATTAATTGCAATCTGGAGCAGAATCCTGTGTTGCTGCAAGACTAGCTCATCCCTGGCAATTTCCATACATGTGGAGTTTTGTGCAGCATATGGATTTTGAGTAAGTTCTGAAGCAGCTGAGTTGGTGGCTGGCTCCATAACAGGTTTAGTTATATGCTTTTCCATTATAGCCTTAAGTTCATCTATTTTCTGATTGGCATCTAACAGCTGATTGAAAATTGTAGTAACTATTTTAGCAGTTAACAGGCAATTCTCAGCAACCAAGTCCACCTCCACATTTAAATTGCTTGTGGTTTAAAAAGTGTCCTCTCCTTTATCTCCTACAGAAACCTCATCATCAGAGGAAGGGAAATCATCTCCTTCCCAATCAAATAAGGCATAGGATTTATTAGCAGAGATTGCGAGGGGAGAAGAGGAAGAGGAGTTACATGCTGTGTCCTTGTACTGGAATAAATCCTTCAGTTTTAGCTGTCTGGACGTTGCTGCAGCCTTAGAGTGTCCAGAATGCTTGGAATTTTCTCTTTGCGACATCTCAGGCTTGTTCTTCCCTTTGGTCTTTCTCTTTGAATTCATTTTCGTTCATGTCTTGTAGCCATTGCTGCCTTGCATCATTGGCAGGTGTCCAAAACTGTTGGATTCCAGACTCTAAAATACCAACTAGTCTTAATTCTAAAATTCTAAAATTATTAATCCTAATACAAGGAACTAAAATTTCTAATTGATATTAAATAAAACCACTAAGTAAACTATTTTAAAACTAAATAAAAGAGTAACTAAAATGGAAGAGTTAAGAGCTCACTAAAAATGCTGTCACTCTGTGGCCATGTTGCTGCGCCTAGAATCCCATGATATTATAGCACTGTAAAGCTTAATTTGGCATATCACTAGCCATCCTTGTGATATGAAAAAAAAAAAGTGCATAGTTCATCCAATTTGACTTTTAGTCACCCTGACCAAGTGCATAAATATTTTGTTTGGATAGCAAGCAGAGTTAAAGAAAGTTATACAGTTCAAACTTCCAGTCTTCCTACTTAACAAAGTTGAGATTTTGTAATGATTAACTTTGAGGTTCATTTTCCTTTTACCTGGCACTTTATTTTAATTATGTATAAGTCCACAAGTTTTAAATTATGTTTTTCAATCATTTCAACACACAATAAATTAAGTGATACTTTAAGACATGATTATTTTTGACACCTTTTTTCTGTTGAGCAGATGATTCATATATGATATTAAGTTAAAATCTTACTCATTAATGCAGTCTTTCCTGTTGTGGGAAGAAAGTAAGTAATAATCAAAAGCTAAGTTTTACAGAAGCTTATAAAACAGCCTTTTAACAAATCAAATGGAATTTTACTGTGGTTAAGTCTAGATTATTACTTATATGTCTTTCAACTTTGCACATGTGTGTGTCTGATATGACTGTCTTCTACTCTGTATGAAAAAGAGATAATGCTTTCTCCTGTTTTCTCCATGATAATGAAAAAGTGCATGATGGCTATATTTGCAAAAGAAGGGATGGAATTTATCAAAAAAGGAAGGATTTTTTTTCTGTTTTCTGAAATAGAAAGCTTAGTATAGTTGATAAATATTATTATTCCAGGATATCTTCAATTGATTGATTGATTATGTGCTATCAAGTCATTTTTTATTCTCTTTTCACTTTTACTAGATTATCATGGATATTCTTCATGACAATCTATCCCTAACCTGGTCTTTCAGGTCTTCCAACAGTGCACTCATCACCACTGTAACTGAGTCCATCCACCTTGCTGCTAATCGTCCTCTTCTCTTTCCTTCCACCTTTCTCAGCATTAGAACCTTTTCTTTGCATAATGTGCCTGAAGTAGGGTTATTTGAACTTGGTCATTTATTCTTCAAGTGAGAACTCTGAGTTGATTTGTAAAATGATCCATTGGTTTGTTTTCTTGGCTATTAATGGTATTCTCAGGAATCTTTTCTAACACCTAAGTTCAAAGGCATCAATATTCTTCCTATCTTACTTCTTAAAAGTCCATGTTTTGCTTCCTTAGAGTGTCATAGGGAATACCTTGGCTTGCACAATTCTGATCCTTCTAGAGACTTCATGGCAGCTGAATATTTTTTCCAAGGCCTTCATGGCTGCTCTACTGAGTGCTAGTCTGTGGCATATTTCTTGACTGCTTGTTCCTTTACTGCTGATGGTTGATCCTAAAAGGCAGAAGCTCTCCACCACTTTGATATCTTCATTTCCAGTTCTAAGGCTGGTTCTACCTGTTGCCATGAGTTTGGACTTCTTTATATTTAATTTTAGCCCATTTTTTCATTTTTCTCCTTAACTTTTATTACTAGGGTTTGCAGATCCTTTGCATTTTCGGCTATCAGGGTAGTGTGATCAGCATAATGCAGGTATTGATGTTTCTTTCTCCAGTTTTAAAACCACGCTTGTCTTCTTCTAATCCAACTTCCCTTAATATAGATTCAGCATATAATATCTTAAATACTCACAGAAAATTTATTGCTTAAATTTCTTCAGCAATGTGACCAAATTAATTCTAAACCAAGAAATTAAAGGACATGTTATAGAAATATATACTGATAGCAATTTAAGCTTCCTTTGAAATTCCATTGGTGCTTATTAAAAAGCTCTTTTTAAAAGATTCCTAAAACAAAGATGTGTTGTTTAAATGTTGGGGACATATAAAAATATAATTGTGAAAATCCAGGTGAGTTTATTGAATTGTTTTCACTACACCTTGTGCTGAAAATATTTGCTTTCAAAGCCTTACAAGATTTAGACTGAAGCAACCTGCAGAACTGTTCCTTCTATACTGTACAGTCCATCCCATGATCTCAAGTAACAAATGAGGTGCCTTTTGCAGGCCTCGCTATAGAAATACTTACTATTCTCCTTTTTCTGTTGTGAGGCCTTCTTTTTGGAATAAACTGCTATTGGAACTGAGACATGCCCCCTCCTTATTAAAGTTCAGGAGGGGCTCAACATATCTTTCTACCTTTTTAGAGTTTTGGCATTATATTATCTGCTAGTATATTTGTAAACTGTCCAAAATTGGTAAGAACTGTTAACACATTCATTTGCTAAATTAATAAATATAACACATTGCATTGTTTCTCTTTTCTCCCAGTATGAAGTGCTTCTTTGTGTGCAAGATCATGATGATCCTGCCATTGATGTGTGTAAAAAGCTGCTTGGAAAATACCCCAACGTTGATGCAAGATTATTTATAGGTAAGATGAAAAGTTGCAAACATGGTGTCCCTTTTTAATAACTGATTAGATACAGAAACCAATTGAAGTAGGGGGAGGAATCTGGAATAATAAATTAATATTCTTTCCGTTTTGACAGATAAGTATTTTTGTATTGTCATAAAAAGTAGCATTTATCTCTTGTGTGTGTTAGCTGATAATGCTGGATTAGTATATGCGTACTGTCATCCATGGATATATGAATATAGGTTTGCAAGGTGTGTTTTTGCTACTTTCTGTAGATTTATGTATGTTATAAAAGCACCTCAGAGTTCTAGTCTGACTCCTAAGTTCTCCATCCAAACTACTTTTGCACTGTGTTTCACTAGAAGTAAAAAACCATCTTTACCATTTGTCCTTATCAGACTTAACACTTGTTGAGAATGAACAAGTGTGCTGGTGGCGTGCTACTACTGTCCATTTTTCCTGCGTGGCTTCTTCTGCAACAGGAGTGGCTAGACAAATGATAAGTAGTTTTAACGTTATGCTCTAATGCAGTGTTGTCCAAACTTGGCCACGTTAAGATGAGTGGACTTCAACTCCCAGAATTCATGCTGGCTGGGG